GGACTGTAAGTGAGAGCCTACACCACACACTTGCTGGCTATCTACCTGGGCACCTGAGCTGAATCCATACAGGAGGAGTGGGTGGACTCCTGAGCTCATATACCTAGTAATAGGTCTAACCACCTGGTGACAGTACAGTAGAGCTTCAAAGGTGCCAATAATCAAACTAGCTCATACAAGCAGCCTATTTAGGCATATCAAAACAAAACAAAAAGCTAGGACACAGTAAGCAAACATAAAATAAATAAATGTAATAACATTAATGGTTGGGAGACAGCAGTCAATATGAAATCACATAAAGAGGCAATCCATGATGGCTTCAGCAAGCTCCCAAAATAAAGAATCTAGAAATTTTCCAGAGGGGGAAAATTTCTTGGAATTACCAGAGGCAGGACACAAAACATTAATATACAGAACTCTTCAAGAAATTAGGAAGGAAATTAAGCAAAACGCAAAACATTCAATAGAGGAAATTAAAAAGATGAGTGAAGAGCGTGATGACAAATTAACAGGCTGCAAGAATCCATAGAGAGACAGCAATCAGAAATCCAGAAGATTAACAATAAAATTTCAGAATTAGACCACCCAATAGAAAGTCATAGGAGCAGAATTGAGGCAATGGAAGTCAGAATTGGTGAGATTGAAGATAAAGCACTTGACACCAACTTAAATCAGATAAAAGGATTTAAAAAATGAAGAAACCCTAAGAATTATGTGGGACTCTTATCAAGAGGAATAACCTACAAGTGACTGGAGTACCAGAACAGGGGCGGGATAACAGAAAATACAGAGAGAATTGTTGGAGATTTGTTGGCAGAAAACTTCCCTGATACCGTGAAAGATGACAAGATATCTATCCAAGATGCTCATCGAACCCCACATAAGGTAGATCCCAAAAGAAAGTCACCAAGACATATTATAATCAAACTTGTCAAAACCAAAGATAAAGAGAGAATTTGAAGAGCGGCTAGGGATAAACGGAAAGTCATCTACAAAGGAGAGTCAATAAGAATAAGCTTGGACTACTCAGCAGAAACCATGCAGGCAAGAAGGCAATGGCATGACATATATAAAGCCTTGAAGGAAAACAACTGCCAGCCAAGAATTATATATCC